ACCGACGACGACAACGACGTCAACGACGCCGACGACGACGACGACGACGACGGCGGCGACGACGACGGCGGCGACGACGACGACGCCGACGTCGACGACGACGACGAAGGCGACAACGACGCCGACGAAGACGACGACGACGTCGCCAACGAAGACAACGAGGAGCAATCTATGCGAGGCGGCGACGGGGGGCGACGGAGAAAACATGGCCGCCAGACCGACGGTCATGCCCAAACGACGGGCGGTGACGAGGCGGCGACGCGGCGGCGGCGACCCCATGACCGCCAGACGCCGATGGCCAGGCTCAGTTCCCTTAGGACAGGGAGGCAAAAACTCCTGACTGCAAGCACCGCTTGGGGAACAGGAGGAGGAGGAAGAGGAGGAGGAGGAAGCCGAGGTAGATCCGTGAGATCTCTGGGGACGTCTGGAGCACGCCGTAGACGCTCCAGCGCGAGTCGAGGGGCAGCAGTATTTTGTCAAGGCTGCACCTGCGCATCCCTGCCTCTTCGACCCGTCCTTGGTCACAGATCCTGGAGTGGTTGGTCTAACGCCGTTGCAGTTGTCTTCGCGTAAGCGTCCAAGGTGTCTTTACTTCCGTCCTTGCTGTGGATTTCGTTGTGCCTCCCATGACGCACCGATCGTTTGGTGACGATTGTCTTTTCTCATTATATCCAGGTGCTTGCGGCAGATCCATCACCGTACAAGCGAAGCACACAGTGCGGCGGCCTTTCGAGCACCGCCCAGAAGGCCGTCCCATGTGACACTTTTCGTCCCCACTTCCTCAGAAGATGGCATGTGGCTTCTTTTAGACCGTCGTGGGCTCTGTCGTGGGCTCTTGTGGAGCAGTCTTGGGATCCAGATGCTTTCTTGAGTTGGGCTCTCTTGCGGTCGATCCGGGGCATCTAAGGGCCATGGGCTCGCATTGGGTCCTTTTGAAACTTCGACGACCGCAAACGGAGCGGTATTTGAAGTCCGTCCTGGAGAGCGTCTTGCTGGGTGTCGGGGAAGCGAGCCTTTCAGGTTCCCGTGAGATCTTCCTGTTTGGGAGTTGTTGGGTTGCCCCTGAGACAGTCTTCGGCCATCTTGGCGGCCTTGGTGGCCTGCGTGGGCCGTCTTGGAAGCAGGATCTGGCATCCCGGACGCATCGGGAAGCAGGGGCGACGCATGCAGCATTGCGTGGCGAGAGCGGGCTTTTAGAAGGTTGCAGAAGACCTGCACGCCTCAGCGTTCCAGGCGGCACTGGGGAATGATGGGAAGCTCCTCCGGCGTGGACCGCTAAGTCTCTGGTAGTCACTCTCTCTAACTCATTTACGACTCCCAGCCGCACTTGGAAATTCGCTAGCGGATGACGGGAAGAGCCTCTGGCGAGGACCGTTTATCATTTGGTAGCAACTCTCTCTGACTAATGGGGTCCGTGGTGCATCCCGAGATAAGGTGGCCGATGACAGAAAGCGCCTCTGGCGTGGACCGCTTGTTTTTAGGTAGATATGGTCTCTGACTCAGGGGTCGCGACTGCATCTCGAAATTCGCTGGCGGATGACGGGAAGCGCGCTCAGACTCGACGAGTCGCGAGATGGACGTTAGGTCAGGCTTGGAAGGAACTTTGCATTAAATGGGGGCAGAACAAAATGCTTGCAAATTTTTTAGATTCAAAGAAATACGGCTCCCTCCTGAGACACCTCCAAACAATGAGATGCTGACGGAGGAGTTTTCGATCTCTTCGTTGAGCAATCTTGGAGGACCCCCAAGACGCCCAAAACACATGACTTCCTTGCTGTTTAACACGTCTTTTCAACATTAGCTTTTTGCTTGAGGCACCCTCGAACACTTATGTCGCACGGGATTTTCGAACCCCCGTTCGGTAGTAATTTCATGGGAGTGTTGCATGTCGAAATTCAGGTATTCGAGTGCATTAGCGTGCGTTAGCGTGTAGTCGATGAAACAGCGCTGGATTAGCGTCGAATATCGTTGGTTAGCGTCTGTTTGCAAGAACCAGCAAGATGACATGGGAGGCTCACATGAGTTGCCGGGCCTTCCCATTGGCGAGCCCAAGGGGGAAGTGAGAGGGGGCAGGCCTTCTAAGAAGGCGGCGGGGCTTCTCAGAAGGCGCGAGGGGTTCTGAGAAGCCCCGCCGCCTTCTGAGAAGGACTGCCCCCTCTTGCTTCCCCCCTTGTCTCGCCGCCGAGGTCTGGCTTGCCTACGGGGGTCTTATTCCCAACCCTCCTGCGTTGAGTTCTCGTTTTGAATAGAGCACTGCTCGCGCGTCTCCTTCCTCACTTCCTTCCTTCCCTCCCGCCCCCCCCCCGTCCCTCTCTTCCCCCCTGCCTTCGCTCGTCGCTGCGTGCCAGCTGGGGGGCTGCGATCTGCGAAACTGTCGCCACTTTCGGACCTGCTGGGGGGCCCGCACAGTGGGTACCCACCGCAGAGTCAAATGGGACCTCGCCACCCCTGGGGGGCTGCGATCTGTGAAACTGTCGCCACTTTCGAGGCCTGCTTGGGGGGCCCAGCACAGTGGGTACACACGGCTGACTCAAATGGGACCTCGCCATCCCTGGGGGGCTGCGATCTGTGAAACTGTCGCCACTTTCGAGGGCTGCTGGGGGGCCCAGCACAGTGTGCACTCGCGGCGGATTCAAATGGGACCTCGCCATCCCTGGGGGGCTGCGATCTGTGAAACTGTCGCCACTTTCGAGGGCTGCTGGGGGGCCCAGCACAGTGTGCACTCGCGGCGGATTCAAATGGGACCTCGCCATCCCTGGGGGGCTGCGATCTGTGAAACTGTCGCCACTTTCGAGGGCTGCTGGGGGGCCCAGCACAGTGTGCACTCGCGGCGGATTCAAATGGGACCTCGCCATCCCTGGGGGGCTGCGATCTGTGAAACTGTCGCCACTTTCGAGGGCTGCTGGGGGGCCCAGCACAGTGGGCACTCGCGGCGGATTCAAATGGGACCTCGCCATCCCTGAGGGGCTGCGATCTGTGAAACTGTCGCCACTTTCGAGGGCTGCTGAGGGGCCCAGCACAGTGGGCACTCGCGGCGGATTCAAATGGGACCTCGCCATCCTTGGGGGGCTGCGATCTGTGAAACTGTCGCCACTTTCGAGGGCTGCTGGGGGGCCCAGCACAGTGGGTACCCACGGCGGATTCAAATGGGACCTCGCCATCCCTGGGGGGCTGCGATCTGTGAAACTGTCGCCACCTTCGAGGGCTACAGGAGGTTGCCCTTCGGCTCGCGTTCGGACAGCGGGTGTCGGCCGGGAGGATCCAAGGAGGAGGAGGAGGAGGAGGAGGAGGAGGAGGGGGAGGAGGGGGAGGAGGGGGAGGAGGGGGAGGGGACGCGGTCCTCTGAGGAATGGCCCGCCTGCACTGCTTCAGCTGCTGTTGCTGCTGCTGCTGCTGCTGCTTCTCCTCTTGCTCTTCCCCTCCCCTTCTGCTTTCTTTTTCCCAACCCTCCTGCGTTGGGTTCTCGTTTTGAATAGAGCACTGCTCGCGCGTCGCCTTCCTCACTTCCTTCCTCCTTTCCTTCCCGCCCCCTCCCGCCCCTCTCTTCCCCCTTGCCTTTCGCCTCGCTCGTCGCTGCGTGCCAGCTGGGGGGCTGCGATCTGTGAAACTGTCGCCACTTTCGAGGGCTGCTGGGGGGCCCAGCACAGTGTGCACTCGCGGCGGATTCAAATGGGACCTCGCCATCCCTGGGGGGCTGCGATCTGTGAAACTGTCGCCACTTTCGAGGGCTGCTGGGGGGCCCAGCACAGTGTGCACTCGCGGCGGATTCAAATGGGACCTCGCCATCCCTGGGGGGCTGCGATCTGTGAAACTGTCGCCACTTTCGAGGGCTGCTGGGGGGCCCAGCGAGGGCTGCTGGGGGGCCCAGCACAGTGTGCACTCGCGGCGGATTCAAATGGATCGCCATCCTGGGGGGCTGCGATCTGTGAAACTGTCGCCACTTTCGAGGGCTGCTGGGGGGCCCAGCACAGTGTGCACTCGCGGCGGATTCAAATGGGACCTCGCCATCCCTGGGGGGCTGCGATCTGTGAAACTGTCGCCACTTTCGAGGGCTGCTGGGGGGCCCAGCACAGTGGGCACTCGCGGCGGATTCAAATGGGACCTCGCCATCCCTGGGGGGCTGCGATCTGTGAAACTGTCGCCACTTTCGAGGGCTGCTGGGGGGCCCAGCACAGTGGGTACCCACGGCGGATTCAAATGGGACCTCGCCATCCCTGGGGGGCTGCGATCTGTGAAACTGTCGCCACTTTCGAGGCCTGCTGGGGGGCCCAGCACAGTGGGCTTCCCGCACGTTTTTCTCCTGCTCTTCGTTCCCGACTCCCCATGTCCTCTTCGAGCCTGTAGTTGTCTCCCTTTGTTCTTGTATGGTTCTCTTGCGCATCATTACATTGGCGCGTGTCCCAAGTAACTTACGTATCAAACAACGGATCCTGCAATTTGATTGTCCGTGCAAGTTTCGGCCAACTCCTCGTTTCCCATGATACAAATGGGTTGGGTACGTCACAGGGTAATTTTTCGGTGGCAGAGACCGGTGGGTGCGATGCCCTTCTTCATTGGCGGGGCCTGGCCTCGGTCGGTTTATCGTTTGGGGTTGCTCGGGGTTGCTTGGGTGCGCCATGCCAAGCAAAGCCAATCAATGCTTAGCAACGTAAAGTAGTGCCGGTCACCGCCAAGCAACCATTGTAATTCATGCCACGCAGTGCCAAGCAATGCCGCGCAGTGCCAAGCAATGCCAAGCAATGCTTAGCAATGCCCAGTAATGCCAAGCAATGCCAAGCAGCGGCTGCAGGCAATGCAGGAGAATGCCAAGCTGTACCAAGCAATGTTTTGCATTGCGTTGCTGTGCATTGTTCAGAACTGCTTTAAAAGGGTTTAGAAGAGGTGAGACCCCCAATTTGGGTAGCGGTTGCCTCATATCACAAAACAACCAAACACTCTCCATGTTCTGAGGGATCCCCAGTCCTCGGAAAGCTCAAAGTCCATGTGAATCACGTCCGTAGCCCTTTGGGCTGAAGTTGCGGCAAGACAGGCGGCTCGTCAAATTGCCAAGACACGCGACTGACTGCCCAGGCTCAGGCATGGCAACACTCCGCGCGCATGCCGCCCGCTCGCACACGAGCCAGGGCTGCTGGCGCCAGGTCCAGCGGCCGCACGTGGAGCGAGAGCTCTACAGAGGCCCTGGCAGCACCGACGCGCTCCGGGAGGACATCGAGCGCCGTGTGCTGCAGCTCCGCGGAGTCTTGACCGCGAGCAGGCCTCCGGCACCGACGCCCAAGCGCATGAGCGAGTCGGCAACAGGAAGTGACGTCGAGGAGCTGCTGAAGATAAAGAGGCTACTGGCGGAAAAGCTGGGGGAGGCGCGCCCAGCTCAATCCAGCCAGGAGAAGTCGGGGTGCAGCAGGAGCCCTCTGTCATCCCGCTCAATGTGCTCATCGTCTCAGGAGTCCCCGAGGCCCGTGGCCAGGGTGTTGATGAAGGACGGCCTGGCATATGTGATTATTTGAGTGCTCACTGGCAGCGGATGAGGATCTCGCCCAACAGTGGAAGCCCGAGTCGGGCCTTTGCATTGTTTTACGTGGTGCCTCGCTATCCCTCCTGTATCGGGGAAACGTAAGACTCGAGAACGCCAGAACTCGGATTTGCCGACGCTTTTTCACGAGCGCGCCCCGGATTTTGATGGTCCAGTCTGCGAGGGATGTTTGCAGCGGGAGTTCGCGTCTCATTTCAGATGGGGTCTCGTCATTTTTCATGATGGCCCCCGAGCCCGAGTCTTACGTCTCCCCAATTGCATGCGCTCCCTCGGGGATGTGCTCACACCTCTATTCACCAGCCTCGAACTTATCCCTATCCCTAAGATTGACACGCTAAAAGGCGATGACAATCTTAGGGATGTACCCTCAGAAACTGAGGAAATCCCTAAGATCGCCATCGTGATGAGGCGATGTCCAACATAGGGATAGGGATATGTTCCAGGCTGGTAATCTATCCCCATGCTCGAAGCTCAAGTGCTGTGCGCGTGCGCACAAAACAGCCCTGCACCGTGGCGGCAAGGCTCCTCACGGTCCGCACGGGCAGGCGGGAATTGCACGAGGAGTCTCGTGCCCGACGCTTTGCTTCGAAGAACCGGGGGTGGACAGACCTCCTACCCTGACGCGTCGATCAAGGAATTGGCCGTTTTCGGTTCGCGAGAGGGCGTCGCGGCCGTCATTCTTGCGGGTCCAGGTCCGTTGGTTTCGGTCCCAGGCCGTTTTCACTAAGGGGAGGTCTACTAAAGGGAGGTTTGTCCACCGCCGAAAAAACGGCACAGACACAAATTGTTGGCGCTTCCCCCAGATTTCTTGGATCCTCGCTGGGCCCCCCTGGCGGCGCCTCTGGCGCCGCCCCTGGCGAGCTCCTCCGGCCAGGGATGGGGTTATCAGCGCAGGTCCAAGAAACCCGCGCGGAGCGCCAACATCTTATGTTTTCGCCGTTTCCCTGCTTCTATTGCTGCGGGGTCTCATTTGTTCCCCCGCTCGCCCGCGATGCCGATCCCCGAGGGGGGGCACCGATTGGAGGCGGTCGTGGCGGAATGGCATGTCAGCATGGAGACCTGTATTGTTTCAATATCGTGGTCATGATTTTTCATGACCTTACCCCACCTCCTCCCTTCTCATTTTCGGTTTCCTTGGCGGGAGTATTGATTAGCGCCAGCATCTATCAGCCGTATCCCCAGCTTCCTCTCCATTCGAATACTTTTTAATTAGTTTTCAATGTGTCTCAAGCTCCGCACGTGGCACAATGATTGTTTTCACTGCAAGGCATGGCAATGGTTGTCTTTTGCGCCATCGACCGATCTGGATATTGAAGTAGATGGTTCGAAATTTTGGCAGACACAGTGCGTTGCCGCAGTTGCGCCAGAGGGCCCGATGAGTCCAAACGTACTGATTGCCAGGGCTGGACCTAAACGGTGTTGTGGAGATTTCGTGGACCGTTTTCGTTTCGACTTCGCTTTGCGGTAGAGGCGGATTGTAGACAAAACACGGGAAAACGAGATCAACACGAAAACGCAAAACACCGTTTAGGTTCAGCCCTGCTTAGAAAGGCTGTGGCTTTCTCGCCCTCTCGGGCACTCGTCGGTGCAAAAAACCGTCCCAGGAGGCCTCCGAGATGGAGGATCCGAGCGGGCCCGTCGATGGACCAATGACGGCGTCAGGGCGGCCCCACGACGGCCAGAAGACGGCGACGGGGGCCCCAAGACGGCTCAGGAGAGCCCGAAGACGGCCCAGACGGACCCCAAGGAACCCCTGAGACTGCTTCACAGGAGCCCAGGATAGGCCCTGGGCGGCCCCAGTGGGCCCCCAGAAGTGAGCTGTTGAGAGATTCACGGTGTCACACGTTAGGGGGCTCCTCTTCATTTCTCCTCCTGCTCACCGTTATCAGTAGCATCCCATCCTCATCGTCATTACCATCATCATTCTCGCCGTCCTGCTCATCATCATCGTCACTATCGTCTTCGTTGTCGTCGTCTGCTCGCGCTCCCATCCCGCCTCCACCCTTCTCGGCCTCGTCATCTTCGTCGCTTTGGAGGCCCTTAGAAGCTCTGGAGACCTCTGGATGCTCTGGCAGTGCTTGCCGATTCCGCGTACCGTTTGGCACTGTTTGGCGTTTCTTGGCGTTGCTTTGCGTCGCCTTGCATTGTATTGGGGGGATGGGCCCCGCTCTCCTTGCTGGCGTGGACCTTCCCATCAGGTTCGGGCGTGGCGGAATGAGAAGGAGGAGGGATGCCATTGTGAAACGAGGAGCCAGGGATGGAGGCGGAGGACGAGGAGGGCTAGCAAGATCACAACCGGAAAAGCCAATGAACGCAATGCGCTTGTGGGCCAGGTCGAGGGAGTTCAGAAACTGGAGTTGCCGCTTGTCCATAGGAGCACTCGACGTGACAGAAGAGCGATCTTGAAGTTCAACGACGTCTTTCTTAAGCTGCTCAATGTCCTTTTGAACCGGCTTCAACTCCTCCGAAATATAATACTTCGTAGCCTTCATCATGTCAATGGAGTGTTGCTTCATCTGACGGTCAAACTGACTCTGCATCATCGCTCTCCCGTGCGCTGCGATGCGCAGGGCGGAGGAGAGAGAGAGAGGGTGTAATGCCTTCATGCGGACGGGCCCAAGGAGCCCATCGCTCGGCGTTGCGTGGCAGTGACGAGGAATCGGCGTTGCTCGGCATTCGTTGACGTTACTTGGCACTGCTCGGGTACACATCATCATCATCATCATCATCATCATCATCATCATCACCACCACCACCACCACCACCACCACCATCATCATCATCATCATCATCATCATCAGCAGCAGCAGCAGCATCATCATCATCAGTAGCATCATCATCATCATCTCTCATCCTCCCTCCCCCTCATCCTCGTCATACGGCGACCAGGCCCAAACGTGCCACGTGTTACCATGGGCTGCGCGCTCAGACCCGAGTGCTTCTCTGTCTTATCCACGCTCCTGATCCGACCGCGATGGCAACGGTTTAGTCCCGTCGCTCCTGTCAATTCTGCTCGCAGTTCTTCGACCTCTTCATCTTTCACGATCAAACTCGAGAGGCGCTTGGCCACAACCAAGGCCTCCAAAATCCCAGAACTTGACAGGGCCACGAACACTAGAAGCAGGAACTGGGACACCCAGGGAACCCCGCAGCCTACCGAATTATGACACTGCCAGGAATGCCGGAACCGAACACCGGGAAACCCCCAGTGGGAACCCAGCGGCCTACCGAAATGTGCGCCGCACATTCGCTTACTCTTAACATCCGCAAGGGCCCTTTCAGTGAAAGCATTGATTGGAGATTTTGACTCCAGACTGTGTTGCACCTGGTTGAGTCCGATCCAGGGCAAATTTGGTTAACATTTGGCAGGGGTAATCAAGGGAACCGTTTTTGGAGACCACCTTACTTTTCAAGTTGTCAGGCGCTTGTCGTTGGTGGCAGCCCTGGCGTGAATCGATTGTAGAATAGCATATCTAGCGGACTCGATCTGAGCAAGTGCAGTGCTCCACAAGAGATTGCGCAGCACAGCCTGAGTGGTACGAGCCAGGGGAAATATAGTTTACCCCGCGCGTCTAGTGGCTCGCCGATTCAAGCTCGTCGGTCTGGGCTGTGTGGAACAACATGTTGTTCGGCGCTTGCCATCGGGGTTCAATTGCAGATTATTTTGTCACTCTGCGCAGGGCAGTTCTCATCGTTTGGCCTCACATCTAGAGCTTGATAATCTGCACTTTGTTCTGTGCCGCAATATCTTCTTTCCAGTCGTCGCGTCGGGAAAGTAGCACATCCGCATGAACTACACCAGTCACCCTACACTTGTATCTTCGGTTGGATGTCCGATACAGGCAGTTGTTCAGCATCGGTCTCGGTTGAAACAAATCTGGTGCCCTCTTATTGACGACATCGTTTGGTGATTAGTTTGACGAGGGGGAGGACTAATCATTGCATCAGGATCAGACATGATATCAGCAGCAGTGCCAAGTCTGTGCCGGTTCGGGTCGTGAGCTCGACCTGTTCTCGAAGGACCCAGAGGACGACGAGGTCATGGAGGCGGGGGAGGGCGATCAGCAGCAGCATGATCAGGACAAAGATCATGAGCAGGTCACTACCCACGCTAGTCAATACGGGCTCCCTCGAGGGCGCGAAGTTATTCGCGCTTCGCGCTTCGCGGTCCTCGTTCCTTCTCCCCCTCCTCCTCGTCCTCCTATTCTCCCTTTGGGAGGGCGGCGCGAGAGCGCGAAGTTATTCGCGCTTCGCGCTTCGCGCAGCGCGAAGCGCGAAGTTGGGAGCCCTAGGTCAAGTGGACCGTCTGAAATTGGCGCAGGTCATGAACTCCTCCCACTACCCGGAGTTCGTGTTTACGTTGTTGTTTTTCAGCTCTTGTGCAGTTTTTCGGTTCCACGCGCTTCCCAGTCTTTTCAAGAGCGGATCCACGAAACATGCAGTTTCGTACCGGACGTTTTCCAGCAACCGGCGACTGAGGGGACCCTGAACCAACACACAGTTGGAATCGTTATTGGATAGTTTCAAAGTGGCCCGACATGACCACAAGAGACCATCCCAGATGATCCCAAGATCGCCCATTGCAATCAAACTGCTGCACTGGCCACCCTGGGCTCGGGAGTGGTTCTGTTTCCGGGCTGGTCCTGAGATCCAGCTCGTGGAGCTTCTTCGTGGCCGAGGCTCGCCAGGGCCAGGAAAGCCCCCTCGTTCCCTGTTCGGCGTCAGTCGTGGTAGCGCGATGGCTGTCGCGCCCCGAGAGGACCCACAGGGGCTCCCAAGAGCGTCCCACGAGTCGGCCAGCCCCTCCAGGAGAGTCCCAACACGGCCCGAGGTGGCGCCAAGACTCAGGAGGGTCAAAAACACACAGACACAATTAATCGTCGATTCCCCAGAAAATATGGGAAAATATGGGAATTGGGGAGGAAGACAGAAACCCAGAACAATTAGAAAAATATGGGGAATATTTTTATGTGT